ACTAAACCAAAGCTAAGAAGTTTCCTGAATACAATCAAATACTTTGAGGGACAGAGTAAGTGGGGTACGGGCCTGAGGACCATGCTTTCAGGGGACATCTAGGTCAACTGGCATAACAAAGCGTATTAAGAAAAGATTCTGCATCCTACTTTGGTGAGTGGCATCTGGGGTCATAAAAGCTTGCAAGCGCCCATCTAAGATGCATCAATTGGTCCCAACCACCTGGAGTAAAGGAGAATGAAGAACACCAAAGACACAAGGAAAACAGTACCAAGAGACAAAAAGGGCCACATAAACCAGAGACTTCATCAGCCTGAGACCAGAACTAGATGGGCTACCACCAATGACCGCCCAGACAGGGAACACAACAGATAGTCCCTGATGGAGCAGGAGAAAGGCAGGGTACAGAACTAAAATTCTAGTAAGACCAGACTTAATGGTCTGAATGAGACTGGAGGAACACCAGAAAGCATGGTCCCTGGATTCTCTATCAGCCCAGAACGAAAACAATTTCCGAGGCCAACTCTTCAGACAGGGATTGGACTGGACTACGGGACATAAAGCGATATCGTGAGGAGTGTGCCTCTTAGCTCAAGTAGATAGAGGAGACTAAACGTGCAGCTTCTGTCCGGAGGTGACATGGGAAGGCAGAGAGGGTTAGGAGCTGGTTGAATGGACATGGGGAATCAGGGGTGGAAAAGAGGAGTGTGCTGTCACAGTATGGAGAGAGCAATTAGAGTCACATAACAATGTATGTATAAATTTTTGTATGGGGAAAAAAATAAATAAATCTGGTATTGCTTCAGAATTGCATGGGGTAATTTTTACCCTAGTGTTGAGGACTGGGATTATCTTCATCTCTTCAACTTCAGCTGGACTTCAGTCAGACTTATTTGACGCTCTTTGATACAGTGCTCTTTAAAATGTCTCCATGGCTTTTGCAAAGTCTACCAAAACTGGAAATAGTCGGCTACTATACGTAACATTACAATTAGTTCTTGACATATTTTCCTTAAAAATTAATCATAATCCACAGCAGTATCTAGCTGTTCCTTACAGTTACACCTTGGTCTAAATTAAACTGCTGAAGGTATTTTATTGCTTGCTTTCCAAAAGGTGTTTTAACTGATGCTGAGGTGAAAGTTTATGCATAAAAACACTTCACTGATACTTTTCCACACATAAATTACAGCCTCTTCAGTTGATTTTTAAGTGTCATGTACATTTTCAAATCAAAATTTATCACTGACATTCTTTTAACATTTGCTCCCCATCCTAAGCTCTTCCAAATGCCAAAGTTCCTTACTAATCTTCAAGTACCTATTACCTGTGCATTTTTCTGGTCTTTCTTTCACCACTTCACATTCCAAGTTTTTGTCCTTTAGACACTTTCACTTCTTAAAGTAAGCGCTGTTAACTCCTTACAGTACCTAACCATACGGTTAACATTCTGCATAATCTTACTCCTTTTTTTAAGTGTAAACCTCACTGTAATTCCTCTTCGGGGTTACCTCCTTTCCTAAATTCCTTCCATTACCACTGCCGAAAAGCAACGCATTTATACGCCCCTATTCTTCAGCTCAAAACTTTTATCTGTTTAGCGCTACTAAAAACTACTTGAAAGCCCCGGATGCCTCGTTTTGGTACTCCATGGAAGCTTTTTACTTGCTTTCCTGTCCTACCTGGGCAGCCTCTCCCGTCAGTTGTGTGGTCCCTTGCTGCCCCCAGCACTAGAGTGCAACTCACTACAGTGCATTTCTTTTATTCACCAACACTCCCGGCATCTCCTTTCATTTCTGCGCATCTATCTATCCCTTCGTGAACCTCCATCCCAAAAGATTCTGTATCCAGGTGTCCATATCTCAAATTAGAATATCCCTCGCCTGACACTGCCGGCGCTATCTGTACGACTTTTAAGAGCACACGCGAGGCTGAACGTTTCTATCTCCTCCAGCAGCACCCGCTCCCTACTGAGTTCAGTCTTCTCTCGCGCTCTCTTCGTGGAATGCCTACTTTGGGGCAACCTTTTGGCTCAGAGAAGTCCAACCTTGCAGCCTCTGCCCCGTGACCTCGCGAGCCCAGCACGCCACTCAACCTTAATTCATCCCATTCTTGGATATTGTCCCCCAGTCCCAGCTCCCCGAGCCAGACCCCAGATTAGACGAACGCCCATTTGCTCTGGTGGCAACAACTCCCCGGCCCGGCCCCTTTCACACCACTCAGTCCAGAGTGACTCGGCTCCTCACCTAGCTTCGACCGGGACTCCTCCAGTTTCTGAATCTGGTTCTCCAAGAAGAGCATCGCCACCGCGAAGGCCACCACCGCCAGCAGCTGCAACTTGGGCGGCATCATAATCCTGAGGAGCCCCATGAAACCCGCTGCTCGGGATCAAGACATACCGCGGGGGGCGGGGAGCGGGGCCCCGGAGGCGAAGGAGACGCCGGGAACAGCCCACCGAGCCAGGAGAGAGGCAAGGAGAGCGCGACAGCCAGAGAACCACCGCAGCGACCCCCCTTCTCGCCTCCCCGGTCCCCCGCCCCCAGGCGCCAGCACCAAAGCCGCCGGTGCCCTCTTTTCCTCAGCAGACTCAACGGCCACCCCCTCCAAAAGCCCGCGCAGCGAACAGCTCGAAGCGGCTGCCGGGCTCTCGCCTCCCTCTACTGCCTCAGTCCCCGACCCCCGCGCCCGCCTGCCCACCTCCCTCTCTTCCTTCCTTCCCTCCCTCGTTTGCTCGCGGCCGCGCGCTCCTCCACTAGCGCTGCGGCTGCGGCTGCGCCGCCCTCGGCCCCGCCCCCTGCCCATCCCCCCTCCGCCACCACGCGCACGCATCCACGTACGCTGCTCGGCAACCAGACGCTCCACCCTTCATCCCTTTCGGTTGTGCTTATTGGCCCGAAGGCCGGAGGCACGTAGCTCCCTATTCGCGTTACGGTTGGTTTCCTCTCCATAGGTCTCAACTAAGGCAGCATTCGATTGGATAAGTTTGGAAGAGAAGGCAGGCTGAAACTGGTGAAGGCGGGGCTTCATAGCCGCTTGACGAAATGTCGTCAATGAAAGGTAGGAGCCGGAGATGCACAGATTTGGGGAGTTTAGGAAAGTGCCTGATTTGGGTTATCGAAAGGACCTAGCGACTGTCTTTATATTTTATCATCTTTAAGGTTTTATATGCCCTTAGATAATACCCGTCTCTGCAGAATGAGCTATTTGATGGCAACAGCCCTTAGTAGTCTGTTTTGGATCAGGCTCTAGAGTGGACGCCCCTAGCTGAGGGGTCCTCTGTCCAGCCAGAGACCTACAGAAGAAGCTGGCGATGGCGCTTCGGCCGGGAGAATACTTTTGGCCTGCGTTTGGGCTGCGTTTGCTGTTGATGACCATGTTTCAAGCGGTGAGTGGAGATCACTTCCGCGGCTTCCTTAGGGCGAATGGGAGGGATTGCACCTAGGAAGACGGAAGATTTTGGCCCAATTTGGGAGCCACACTTGAAGAGAGCAGGAAGACTGAGCTTTCTTAGGGATTACTGCGTCCGGAATGCGACGTGGCTTAGTTCCTCGGCTGATGCTTGTCCTTCCCCGCCCCCGGTTTCTAGCGGCGCTGTTCTGTGTCTTGGGTACTTATCTTTCATTACAGAACTCCAGTCAAAAAAAAAAAGTCTGTAAATCACACAATGAAAAAAACAGTGACAAACTTGGAAAGGAGTGAAGGTTTTCTAAACGGGCAGAAATGCGGGGGACGACCGTTCGTTATGACGAGGCTCCCAAATCTTAGAGGAAATCCCTCGATTCTTTGGTCCAGGCCCACAATTCCAGTTTACTTCTCGCTTTTGTTAGTGTTCTCTCTACTTCAGTTTTACACAGTTTTTTACCTTGGTTCTCCTCTGGCATTCATGTACCACTGTGCGTACTTCGATACGGTTTGTGGTTTTAAACAATGTTACTGCACTCACAGTAATTGCTGTATACGAAAGTAAGTATAATTTTAAAAATGAGTTTTTTAAAACGATGGGCCTTAATCTCTTAAAATTACGCAGTGTAATCAAGGTTTAGTGTTTTTCTGTTTTTTTTCCGTTTAGCGAAATAGATGCGTTCTTGATCATTGAACCTTTTGATTTATTTTTGTATTCATTCACGAAACAGCTATGAGGTTTGCAGTTCATACTTTGCTATCTAAATAATAAAACTTTTTATAGCCACTTTGTTAGCTTTTGGAGCCCTGGTGGCGCAGCGGTTAAGAAGTACGGCTGCTAGCCAAAGGGTCGGCAGTTCGAATTCACCATCCGCTCCTAGGAAGCCCTATGGGGTAGTTCTGCTCTGTCCTGTAGGGTCACTATGAGCCGCAATTGACTGGATGGTAACGGGTTTTTTATGGGTGTTTGCTTTTATCTTACCTCAGCTTAATTCTTTTTTCAGATACTCTCTTTACTAAGCCTCTGAAAATTTTTCTCTTCGGAGACCTGGTTTATTTGATTTATCCAAGATTTAGGAGGAACTGGAGACTATACCCTGGAGCCCTGGTGGAGCAGTGGTTAAGAGCTCAGGCTCCTAACCAAAACGTCAGCAGTTCAAATCCACCAGCTGCTCCTTGGAAACCCGGTGGGGCAGTTCTGCTATGTCCTATAGGATCTCTGTGAGTCTGAATTGACTTGACGGCATTCGATTTGGTTTGGTTTGGTTTGCCTTGAATTACCACAGCTGCATCCTAACTAGTCTCCCCATCTCTTTTTCTCCCTTTCCAATGCAGCCTTTACAGTGCATCCAGAGTGATCTTGCTAAAACTTAAATCTGAATACTTGAAACTCTTCTGTGGTTCTCTTGCTTTTAAGGTGAAATCTGTCATCCTTAACATGACTAGTCTATCCAGACTTATCTTCCAACAATTACTGGTGGTGCACTGGTTAAGCACTTGGCCGCTAACCAAAAGGTTGGTAGTTCGAACCCACTAGCTGCTGCACAGGATAAAGATGTGGCAGTCTGCTTCCATAAACATTAAACCTTGGAAACCCTATGGAAAAGTTCTACTCTGACCTGTAGGTTTGCTGTGAGTCAGAATCCACTCAACGGCAATGGATTTTTTTGGGAGAGGGAGGGAAAGGTAGGGGTGGCAGCTGGGGTCACTTGATTTAGTATATCTCACATACTGTGTGCTCCTTCATGCCAGGTCTTTGAACTTGTTGCCTCTGCCTAGAAGCAGCTTCCCAGCTTTCCAGCTTCCCGTCTTCTCCCCAACCCCCAACAAAAATATGGCTATCTTCTACTTGTCCTCTAACCCTTCTGGTCTCAACTGAGAAGTCACTTCCTCAGCAAACTTCCATATACCCCAAGTCTAGGTGTCTCTCCAATGCGTGCCGGTGGTGATCAATACTTTTTTTCTCTAAGGCACTTTTCATGGTATTTGTTACGGATTGAATTGTGTCCTCCAAATATATGTGTTATAAATCCTAACTTCTATACCTGTGGTTTGGAGCCCTGGTGACACGGTGATTAAAAGCTCAGCTGCTAACCAAAAGGTCAGCAGTTCAATTGTACCAGTCACTCCTTGGAAACTATATTTAAAAAAAAAAAAAACCCATTGCCATCAAGTCGATTCCAACTCATACCCAGTCTGTGGAGAGAGTAGAACTGTCTCATAGGGTTTCCAAGGAGCAGCTAATGGATTGGGACTGCCGACCTTTTGGTTAGCGGCCAAGCTCTTAACCACTGTGCAACCAGGGCTTCTGGAATCCCTGTAGGGGAATTCTCCTCTGTCCTATAGGGTCGCAATGAGTCAGAATTGACTCTGTGGCAATGGGTTTGGTTTGGATTTTACCTGTAGTTATTGTCCCATTTAGGAATGGGTTTTCTTTGTTACATTAATGAGGCAGTATTAGTGTAGGGTATGTCTTAAATCAATCTCTTCTGAGGTATAAAAAGCAGATTAAGCAAACAAGCAAGCAGAGATGGGAGAAGATAGATGCCAGGCCACATGTTGATTGCCAAGGAACCCAGGAATAATCTTTAAGGAGACAGAGAAAGTCTTCCCTTAGAGCAGGCTCCCTGAGTTTGGGCTTCTAGCCTCCTACACTGTGAGAAAATAAATTTGTTTGTTAAAGCCAACTGCTTGTGGTATTTCTGTTATAGCAGCACTAGATAATTAAGACAGTGTTCTTTTGTTATTTCTTGATATTCTCCCAGACTTGACTGGAGCCCCATAGAGAGGGACCCTGTCTTTCCTGTTCACTTTTTTATCTTTAGTAGGATACATATCCAGTGATACAATACTTGATATCTAAATGAGGTATTTGACAAATGAATCAGATAATCCATGAGCAAAGATCTGAAAATATAGAAGTATGAGGCCTGCTTGGTTGGAAACTGTTTAGAAGGGATGCTGGTCATTATCACCCCTTGTATTCCAGTTACCTTTATAGATCTCTACTATCAGTGGTCCCAACTGGAGGTGTCTGTCAGTATCCTAGAGGGGTGGGAGGGTTAACATACAAACGCCTGGGCTCTGCCTTAAATCTCCTGATAACTGTACAACTCTAGTTGTAAATATACCCTAGACAGAAACCTTTTGAGGACAGGAATCAACTTATCCATGATTTTGTGAGGAGATAGCATCCTAATTTACACACAGTAAGCCATCAAATGAAACTGCTGGATTATCAACCATACCACGTTATTCCACTTAAATATTCCCAGTGATAGCCATTCTACACACAGCTTCTCAAAGTGTTCTCTGCAAATTCTGCCTATTGAATTCATAACTCATGAAGAAGTGTAACTTAGTGAAAATACTAAAGTTTAAGAAAATCTTTTTTAGTTTTAACTGCTAGTAACTGTAAGTTAAGACGAATTAATTTACTCATGGCCTTAGTTTCCTTATTTCCTTCTCTATAAAGTAAGGTCATTAAATAAAATGCAAGAATCAACTCAGAGTCACATATAACCTCTCCCTTGCATCCAAAAAAAACCAGTCCTGTTGCTGTTGAGGCGATTCTGACTCATAGCAACCCTATAGGACCAAGTAGAACTGCTCCATAGGGTTTCCAAGGAGAGGCTGGTGGATTCAGACTGCTGACCTTTTGGTTAGCCGCCTGAACTCTTAACTAGGGCTCCCTCCTTTGCATATTATATTATTATGTTTTGCACTGTGTTATACTAATCCATAGTGTTAACCACATCATAGTTGTGTATGTCCCTACACTCCCCTCCATCAGCAAATCAGAATGTAGTCAAAGGGAGTACTAACTAACCCATTGCTGTCCAGTGGTTTCCTACTCATAGCAACCCTGTTGGACAGAGTAGAACTGCCCCGTAGGGTTTTCAAGGCTGTAAATCGTTACGGAAGCAGACTGCCACATCTTTTTGCCATGGGGTGGCTGGTAGGTTCCAACTGCAGACCGTTCAGCTAGCAGCCGAACGCTTAACCACTGTGCCACCAGGGCTCCTTAAAAGGAACACAGGGACCATTTTTCTTTTATATTTGTTTTTCATTGTGCCACAAATGGACTTGTTCATTTGAACCTCTCTGAGGTGTAAATGGATTCTGGTTAATTTGTGTTGTCTCATGCTAATAGTCACCAGGTTATCTGTAGCTTATGTAGAGCAGTGATGAACCCTACGCACTCCCAAATGTACAAAAATGACTCAAGAGAAAGAAAGAGGATCCTGGAAGTGAGAACCAGGAAAATTCACCTTTGTTAATCTGTTTTGGTGGTGTAATGGTTAAGAGCTCAGCTGTTAACCAAGGTCGGCAGTTTGAATCCACCAGCCACTCCTTGGAAACCCTGTGGGGCAGTTCTACTCTGTCCTATAGGGTCACTATGAGTTGGAATCAACTACAACGGGTTTGAGAGTTTTTTTGTTGGTGGGGGGTTATATCGGGGGTTTATACCAAGATACTTGGCTTCCATGCAGGAAACCAGGTTTGATTCCAGCCAATGTACCTCATGTACAGCCATCACCCATCTGTAAGTGGTGGGTTGTGTGTTGCTAGGATGCTGAACTGGTTTTGGTGGAGCTTCCAGACTAAGTTGGAGTAGGAAGAAAAGCCTGGTGATCTACTTCCAAAAATCAGCCAGTGGAAACCCAGTGGATCACAACAATTTGCAACCGATCGTGGGAATGGCAGAAGACTGGGCAGCATTTCATTCTGTTGTGCATGGGGTCGTCATGAGTCGGGCCAACTCGACAGCAGCTAACAACAACAAGGCTTATACCAGTATATGCAAATCCTGCCTCTTTTGTAATAACTAGCATTTTTAAGGGAAAAAACCAACAAAAACCTTGAAAATGAAATGGAATATGGAGGCTTGTTTGAAAAGCAGCAAAGTTAGAAAAACTTCTGTTTGTCAGTTTGCTCAAGGGTAAAAGAAAGCTGGGTAGAATAAGTAGTTGTCAATAGTGA